GTTGGCTCGCGACGACTGGACCTGCACGGCTGCTCCCTTCACGAGCTGCCGCAGGGAGCCGTCTAGCAGCGCGCGTATTGTCGCGTGCACGTGCACACGCGCCACTCTATTATACATATTTATGGCGCGCGAACAGAGATATAGAGCGGATAGGAGGCGGCGCTGCGAGTGCGAAGCCAATTAAAGTGCAAATGTATGGAGATGCGGATGGAATTCCAAGTAGCACAGTGACCGGGAAACCGTCATAAAACCGAAACGCGGCACGAGCTAATCGACACCCGTTGCCGAGGTCGCAGCCCGTCGAGGAGTTGGAATAAGGGTGACGAACGAGACGACTCCGTGGCAGACGAGGGTGAAAAAGGGTAGTGCGTCGACGGCAGAGGGTGGCTGATAGATTCAAGGGCTGGATGATTCGATGCGCCGCGAGAGATGAGAATTTCGTGTCGGTCCGACGAGATTACCGGGGTCGTGAGATACGTTCGAGCGACGAAAGGATCCATCGAAAGACAGGGATGAAGACACTCAGAATTTTTAAAAGATCGCGGTTCGTAATTTCTCGCGAAATTTGCTGGATCATTGAAACAAATGTCTAGTCGAATATCTATGGAGAAAGTCTCAGCGCGACGAGCCTCCGAGGTCCAAAGGGGGTTGAAAGCTCTGCCATAACGTAGGAACCTGGCGGCCGTCACGAATGACGCAAATTCGTTCGATACGATCGGTGTATTCGTTGGTTTAACCGGGAAAATTTTTGTACAAATCGATCCAACGATCCAAATAAATCCGCGGCGAGTCACTTGGATTGCGAAGTGGGGGCGGAAGGGGTCGAGCAAACAGGGAAATGGGACCGTGACAAATCGAATCATCATCGATATCACGGAAACGAGTAAACAGCGCGACCAATGTTCCTCCGACATCCAAGTTGATAAATTAATAACGGTGCGCCAATGGAGTGGGCAGGGCACGGGGGGTCGGTGTAGTTGGCGCAGGGTGGGCCGAAGTGGAAAAAAATGTTCCACAGCCAACCAAAACCGGAGAACGTGAAAAATGCAGAGCGTCGCTCGTGTACCAGCAGCCTTCCGATAAATTTCTCCCGTTCGTCGAACTCTGTATTTCGTGCAAGTTTCATGGGATCGGGGGTCCGACTTCCGTCGAGAAATTCCACCGTTCCTGTCTCGAAGAACGGACAAATCTTCCCGCGGATTTTCTCGCGACCCGTCGATTTTCCGCGGGAAATTTACCGCGTTTTAAATTTCCCTTTGACCACTCGTTACGACGTGGACGAAATCGGGAACACTCGAAGCCCGACCACCCTTCGTCTAATATCGACGATGGCGAACCACCGTCGAAACTCGACCTCCACTACTCTCGCGCTCTCTCGAACCCCCTGAACTACGATCTAGCGGCCATTTCGTCTATTAGCAGGGTAATGCGCCCGGCTTTCGTAGGCGGCGAGCAGCTGCGCGTAAGAGCCGGCTTGCGAGCGTTTAAACGAAAATTATTAGACACTTGCGAAGGGCTGACCACACCGGTCGTCGAGTGTATCCGACGCCATTACGCGGCGGCTGGCCGTCGGCGTCGGATCGGAATATCACGATCTACCGGAAGGCGGCTAACTAAAATTGACCGGCGTCCGGTTCATTAGAATTTAACGTCGGCCAAAGTGAACGCTAAGTGGATCTTTTCGCGCCACTGTCGCCAGCCCGTTAATTCGCCGCGAGAGCTTAACGCTGTTTTCGCGTTTCATACCCCAAAGGCGCACGTCGGGACTCTATCTAAGAGCGAATGGCCTCGTTCGCTCTGAATTACCGTGGTTTCGATCGCTCCTGCAAAGATGGATCGCGTGGCAGCTAGTACCAGCGTCGCAAGTCTCGTGAAACCTGATTTCAGCCAGTTTCAATGGAACAAAGCGAGCGAGGCATTTATTTTCCAGCATTTTCGAGTAATTTCGAGTATCCTGCGATATTCGGGAATCTTTTTTCTCAAACTCGAAATCGTCCCGTTTCGAAGATAATCTTCCGACGATTTTTTCCTCTCTGGTCCGGATTTTCCAGGGAGCTACGAAAGCTTCCCCTACGGCGGTCCAGGGAACTAAGGGAGCTAAGCGTAATAAATACGACGGGAAATTGAAAGTCACGGATTCGCCGTATCGGCGAGACAAGCGCGGCAACAAATCTGCTTTACCCGAAAGAAAACACGGAACGGTCGCGTAAAAAGTGGCAGACCCGTAACCCCGTGGTCATAGCGGCGTGCGTTCTCGTTTCGTGATTCATGCGTCTCGCGACGTAGGTTGCCGTGAACGCGCCATGGGAGCGCGAACAGACCTTAATGGTCTCCAGCGGGGAAGAAAAGGGAAGGAAAGTGCAGGAACGGTGGAGAAATTCCAGGGTGGAGAGATTCCGGAGAATAAAGGAGAGTAGCATGGAAGCTGAACTACCGGTTCGTGTTTTGTTTGCGCTTGGATCTCCTTCCCTGCCCGTGATTTCTCTCTCCACCTTCGATCCCCGCGTCGCTCCATTTTCGCACAACCCCGTTCCTTCTGTTTTCTTCGCTAAACAGGGTCGCGTTACCGGCGACCTTGCACTGATCTCGTCGAACTGGTCCAGCGTCCGACGTTCCCCCCGATCTCCATTCACGTTAAACAAACTCGCGTAATCGAGTCCCAATCGATGGATTAAGAATCCAATTGCAGCTGTCCGACCTACTTCCATCGCACCCCGTTCCCTCAGCTTCGCCGCGAAATCCCTCGAAATCCATGCCGCTACTGTTCCCTCCACCCTACCCCTAACACATTCACGTCGCTAAAGCGTCCGCGTACACGGCCGTTTTTCTGAAATACATTTCCAGAGGCGGATCCAATGGTGTCGGCGGTTATGGTGGTGGTAGCAGCGGCGGTAGTGGTGGCGGCGGCGGCACCGGCAATAAAGTTTGCTTTATTTTTACTACCCCTCTGGCCAAGTACCGCCCCGTATTTCCTCGGGATATTGACATATCGGGGGTGCCTGGGCTTCTCCTCTTAACGCCCTTTTTACACCGGCATGGAATTTATGTCTTCTTCCTCCGCGTCTCTTCTCCGCGACGATCCACCCCGGTTCCATCCTCCTTGTCCCACCTTTGTCCCAATCTACATCTCCCGTCCGCCTCTCTCTCTCTCTCTCTTTCACGCGGGTTTACCTCTATCCCGGAAACTCTTTTATCTTCCTCCTACCTCTCCGTGTCTTCTAGCTGAATCGTTGTCCCCTTCGTTCGCCCGTACGATCCACCTCCCCGCCGATTTCGCCGATGGGGAGGAAGACAATCAATCACTCGCACGTATTCCCGCGTTTGCAGAATCAACCGGAAATCTCTATTAGACGTCGAATAGGCAGAGACTTTTCCTCGTCGACTCACTGGCAATCGATCGATCGCGATTCGGGATCGAAAGAAAGCTCGTTTCCGTAGAGAAATCTCGCTACACGCGGAATACCATGCGAGGGGGGCTCGAAATCTAATTGTTAATATTCGAACGAGAGGTTAAAAGTTGGAATCGTTAAATCGTTTTATATTTCGCGCGACTCGCAGCGTTTTCCCGGCGGCAATAAATCGTTCAAAAACGTAATAACGGTTTGCGTTCAACATGCTTCCCACTGAAACAATTTTACATCGAAACACCATACCAGTTATCGCCGATCAGTTTGCTTCCAAACTCGTTTTATTAAAACGTCGTTTCAACCGATCATGCTCAACGTTCGCGATGTTTCCAACGTTTCCATCGAGTTACTTAACGAATTTAATTCGTCTTTTCCACGGCGAAGTACACGTGCAGAAAGCATAACGTACTCCACCGTTGGAAACACACGGGGGGTTACGCGTAATCCCGAAAAACGTACACGTACGTCCGCGATATCGCGAATGCCAACCGTAATCCAATTCCCTCGATTCTATAAACCGACGGTACTAACGACTCGCCATTTTATTCACGTTTCCTGGCAACTGGCGCACGGTGGGTTGGCGAAACATCGCGGGGGTCATCTTGATAGAACGACAGTTTATTAATCGTCGCTAGGTCGCGGGCCCACGGCGAAAAGTGCAATAAAAGCGGGAAAGAGGGGAAGCGGACGCGTTCGGGCGAGCAAAAACAATGAGCAATCGCTCGTCCAGGGGCTTATATTCTTCCTGCTGGTCGGTTTTTCGCCGGCTTTGTATTTATCGGCGTCCTGGGACGCGACAGCGTAAGAGCGGCCGGAAAAAAGGAATCCAAGCGGCGGGGCGGTCGCGGAGGGGTGGCAAAGGGGTGGACACGGACGACCGCGGGAAAAACGTAATACCGCCGATCGGAATGTTAGGTAGAAAACGGATCGGATGGACGAAACAAAGGGTACCGTGGCGGAAACGTTTAAACTGCGATGGCAATCGAGGCAGAGAAGAACGCGGTTGACACGGCGCATTCCGTCACTTTGCGAGAAGAATTACATTTTCTGGACGGCTGGACCGATGTTCCGGAAGCGGATCGGTGGAACGGGAAACGCGGTGAAATAGATTCGGGACCGGCGTCGAACGCCACAGGTGCGTTAGCGCAAAGTCCACTTGAAAACGACAATTTTAATCCGCGTTTATTCCAGTGTCGCGATATTATATTCGAAATTGCCGCGATAGCCGGTTTAATGGATCGGTTGCGCGAAACGTTCCGCCGTTTATAACAATTTCATTTCGCCAACGGTCTCGTATTTATCGGAATACGCGCGGTGGAAATGAACGTCATCGAGTTGGAAGATTTCGAAGATTTCGGACAACGATATTCCAACCACCGATCCGATTTCGGTCGAGGGCGATGATCGGGAAGACGACGAGTTTAGAGCCGTACCAACGAGAAATCCACGATGATACGAATTTCGAGTGGAAAGCTCGCTGGCGAAGTGCCTGGATCGCGTTTATCATTTCTTAATTGCACCCCTCTGTAAAGAGACACGCGAGGCCCATGTTCGGAGCCATGTTTCTCTAACCTTTCTCGCGTCTGCTTCCAGGTCAAGTGGACCTTTGGACACAAACGACGAAGGGCTGCGCCTGCAGTTTTAATTCGTCCAGCAACGAATGCGCGTGCTGCGTGCCATCCGGAGGATGCAGTTGCGGAGTCGCGTCGCCGGACAGATGCGCTCAGTGCGGCTTGGAGCAATACTGTGCCAACAGTAAGTACCATCGTTACGTGACATGATCATTAGTCTCGATATACCTCGCGTCTCGTTAAGCGACGCGCGTGCATTTCCAGTTGCCCGTTTCGACGCTGGCGTTTGAAAAGATAGCATTTAGGAGCGACTCTAGTAATTCGAGTAATTCGAGTAATTCGAGGCATAGGTGTAGATTATATCACGGTTACGCGGCACGAGTGCTTTTTCACCGCGGTTCGTCTATTTTCTCGCTTTTTCCCGCACTGCCACTTTCTTTTTACTCGCTATCTCGCGCGTTCTGTTTAGTCTCGCGGACGTTTCGATGCCTCGGACGGTGTCACGTTCTGTTTCCCAGTTTTCGATTTTGGTAAACAGCATTCTCGCGCTCCCTCCGTTCTCGAAATTTCTCGTTCTTCCGTTTCGCCACGGGGAAAAGAGGCCGGATTCTTTTTGCATCCACTCGTTCTGTTTATCGAACGCAAACACGCGACCGCCGCCAACGTCAAACAGGCGAAACGAGATTTCCACTTGGACAGGATTTGCACGCGTCTAAAACTGTAACTTCCAATTAAACCCTTTCGATATTAAACTCGTTAGAGATCCGACTCGCAGCTCGCAACACCACTGCCGTTTCCCCTTCCGATCCTGTGATTCGTGTATTTACTTGCACCTCTGCCAGAGGAATGTAATTGCACGACGTCGAAAAGGCAACCGCTGTCCCTTTGAGTCCGGATCGTCGTTAGAAACAAGATTTGCGCCATTAAGCCGCTCTCCGCTCCCTTGCTCGTGGCACGTCTCGCGTTTTCTGTCGGTCGTGTCGCGTGAACAAGTGGAAATTAAAGCACGTTGGATGGAGTCTCTTTGGAGGACGCGACGGATTAGAGACGCGAAAGAGGGATGCACCGGTGTCAGTGACGATCGTTGCGGTGTCTGGGAACGAACTGGGAACGAACTGGGAAAAAGGCAACGGGGTAACGCGAGTGGTAGACTTTGGCTGCGTGGAGGGATAGGGGAAATCCTTTTATAACGCGAGGTGCGATCGGTAATTCTCAAACGACAGCGCGCGAGGCAACGCGAGAGAAAACGTCGGAGAAAAGGTTAGAGAAAACGATAGAGAAAACGATAGAGAAAAACGCGAGAGACGCGGAGTAAAAAAGGGGAACAGGATTTCTTTCGAATGCTCGCGAACAAGCCACTTGGCCCGACTCGTTTGGTACAGCATAAATCCCGCTACCGAAATTACTACCGCGTCCAGGGCTTTTCTTTCCGCTAACTAATTACGTCAGTGGTTCTTTCTGCCCCCTTCATCCATCTACCTCCTGCTCTCCTCGCGTTAATTACATCTGACGTTATTTCCCCCCACGTCTCATCCATCAAACCTTTCTTTCCTTTGACCACTTCTTCTAGACACCGCGGAAACTTACACCCACCCCCGTCTTTTAATCATACCGGCAACCATTAACGGTACCCCGCTCTCACTTTCGTCGCGCCGTCGAGTGGTGCGTGTCGATTATTTCTCAGCCCCCGAGTCCCGCTCCACTCGGCTAACGAGTTTTCGATTAATCCGTTCATCCATCTACTTAAACATATACTCCTTCGTTCGAGGACCTGCTCCACGGCTCGCAAAGCATCCGACGAAAGCTCGAGACGCGACGTCGTTTATCCTTCGCGGTTCTCACGGATCCTCTCGAACCTGTCAACGGTTATCGATGAGACCTTTAACGAGAATGAACCGGCTAACGATATATCGTAACTTCCGGCAGTATTTAAAGAAATTCTGCAACCCGATCACGGTTCTCCACCGCGTTTAATTGCGCCGATCGAGACGGCGAGGCGCGTCCCACCGGAAATCCTGCTCCCCGTTGCACGATAAACAAATTAAGGCCGGATTCAGGCGACAGGCCAGGAGTTAGGGAAAGGACGTTGCGTGTCGCTGTCGCGACTGCTCGTCGCCTCGGATGGAAAAGACGACGTCCTGCCTGTTCGGGCGTCGACGCAACGATGTAACCGAGAAAAATCGTTATAAGCGACGCAGCATTTTTCTTTCGCGCCGGTGTTGCGCTCCCACGTGACCCGGATTCCGTGCAGACAATGGCGAAACGTATCGTTCGCGGGGACGAGCCGAATAAATAATTTTTCCGCTCGAGATTCGAATTTCCGTAAAATTATTCCACGCGATGCTTCAATGGCCGACGAAATTCGTCGATCCTCGATATTTCCAGGGGGAAATTATCGCGGCGAAATGACCTTCGTAGACTTTCCAAACCCCCGATGGTAGCTGATTAATTCGACGTGCTAGGGGAATATCGAGGTTATCTTATTCCGCGATAAACTCGGCAGAAGATGGAAAATCTGCTTCCGAGGGAGGATAGAGGAAGAAGAGAGGGATACCCTATCTGACGAAAAGAATTCGGGGATGGAAGCTTGGGGTACGGAAGATATTCGGTGTTAGGTGCGAGGAAACGATGACTGGGCGAAAACTTGCAGAAATAGGCGGTGCCCGAATCATTTATCCGCTCGGACACAATGGCTATATGGACAGCTGATAATGGGACAGGGGAACGGTGTTTCCTTCCTTCCAAGTTGACATGTCGTAGTGATATGTCCCAACATCCCTCGTATCGTTATCTGAAGTCTTCATAAAATTCCACCTGAGAATACTCGTCGATTCGTGATTGCGATTTAAAGGTAGCCGTGATCGTGATTGGAACAAGAAGCGCGAGCTAATTATCCGTCCCCCGCGATATTTCGCAGCTAGCGTTTTGAAAACGGCTCGCAGGTTCGCAGGCAACAAAAAGGGGTAGTTTTTCCCTCATCCGCGATGCAACGTAGATTTAATTAACATCGATCGGGCGCGAAGGAATGCTTTCCGATCAGACAAGTGCAACAGGTGTGTTCGAAACGAGTTTTTCCCAGGTGAAGGAGGGGGCGATTAGGAGAACGCAAGGCCCAGCGCGAGGGCTAGCCTGTGTCGGGACAGGTCGAACGGACTCCGTGCGAATTGACCGCGAATCGAATTAGACGTAACAATCACGCACAGTGCGGGACAGCTCTCGCGTGGAGTGATAAATTATACATACCATTGGCTAAATTGCGCGATAAAGCTTCGTTCGCGACGTTATTACGTATAATCCGCGCTGGATTATCCATACGGCCGATAATATTGCCAGAAGCGAGTCCATTAGCGCGCATACAATTGCTACGGCTCGGCTACGAGCAAGACAGACGAAATTCGCGCCACTTTTAATCCCTCCTTCAAACGTGCCAGTTAATGGATCTCTCGTCGAGTCGCCACGATGCTGCACGGTTAATTTACCGATCCCGTTGCCTCTGTTTCAGTGTGCAACATAACGCTGGACAGCAGACTGTTGTTCAGCAAATCGAATCGCGGCTTTGGGCAAATAAAGTCCCCGTCCCTGGAAGGGCCATCGAGGTGTACCTACAGGTTCGTGCCGGACACTGGTCAGCGAGTCGAGTTGCAGATCTACCGACTCATCTCCATTGGACGACACAACGGCAAAGCGTGAGTAGCTTTCATATACCCAATGTCCGAATTTTATTTTCCATCTCGAGATAAAACGAACGTGGTACCTAATATTCGCTGCAATTCGAGTTAAAGGATTCGAGCATTCCGAAATTTCATTCGAGCGACAAATTTGAATTTACGAGGTTTAAATGACCCGTCCCGTTTTATCCGGGATTACTTCGGATCTCGACCATGTTCTCGAATATTTATTCGGTGCATGCGGTGATTTTCGTGCTCCTTTTCTTGATTAAATCGCGGAAACGCGGTATTCGGCTCCGGCTTTAAAGGGGAATTATTAAATCCCCTTATTTTTCAAACATTCCCAAGTAAATTCTTTATTACTCGAAACACTCGTCGGGGAGGATCCAACCGTTGACAAATTGCGCGTAATCGCCTGGATTTCTTTCTGCTCGCCATTACTCGTCGCGATAATTAACGAGGCGGTTCCCGCAAGAAACGAAAGGTTCCGAAGAACGTTTCGGCATTGTCGATAAAGAGAAACGGAAATAGGTAGGACAACGCTGGAACGATATTTGCTCTGTCGATCTCTCCGTTGGTAATTGTCTCGTTAATGCAAAACCGTAGGAAACGATGGGACGATGCCGGCGCGCACGGTTGAAAGCAACTCGCATTGATCCGGCCTTTCAGCATTAATCAAAAATGCTTTTAATCACCCGGAACAAGCGCATCGCTCTCGTTGCTCTTTTGTCCCCGTGCTTTTAATTAAATTAACATCCTACACGGCGGCACGCGCCACCCCTCGCCGAAATGCGTTCCGGCCGGCTGAAAATTGTTATTGCGATAAATCTTGTTCCACGGTATTCGTTGTATCGCGCTCTTTTCATGCGCGAAACAATCCATTTCTCGTTACACGTGTCACTTGACGCGAAAGCTGTAATAACATAGACGGGGAAAAAGCGGTCAACGACGCGTGACGTTGTTCAAGCTTCATTATTTAGAGTGTGCCAGCCACTTACACCGAATTAACCAGAGAGTGTTAATTGTGAAATTAGTGGAACGCTAATGCCGCCATTTATATTAGCGGCAGGTTTCTCTTTCGGCGATCGAGTTGCTCTAACGCGTTCGATATTTCCACTCTTCTACGCGATTATGCGGATTAAAGTTGCCAGGATTCGACAGCCTCGGTTTCTCGCAGACCCTCCGCGATATTTGCAATTAATGAAGGAACACTGGGATACTAACTTCGAGTAAAATTCGCGAATATTACGTTTACCGTAGACAACGAATGCGCGAGTTCGATTGGCTTTTGGTCTAAGTTGCGGGGACCTCTAGATGGTCCAAGTTTACGGTGGTCACTTAACGACTGAAGTTCGAGGTAGCTCGGTCTGGTCGACAGGACTCGTGGTGCTTTGGTTGAGTCTCCTCGACCAGAGGAAGAAGATTAAACGATGTATAAGAACAGAGCGAGTCCGCAATCGCAGACTCTTCGGAAAAATTCTCGGGTTAAGACAGACGTGGTAGATATTACCGGCCACGTAGGTTCCTCGCGTATTTCCTTCGAGAGTACAAACTCGGCCCGTTCCACGGTTCTTAATCGTCGTCTGCAGTACCGTGACAAAAAGTCAGGCCGAAGAAAATATCGGGGCGATAGCACGGAAACAGTCTTCCTTCAAAGCCAGGATACGGATACGTCGCGATGGTCTAGGAGGGAATCGGGGGTGAGTTCCAGTGGCCGATATGATTGGAGATGGCTCGCGTCGATGGTCGTTTCAATTTGTCATACTTCCGTTCTTGCGGGCCCACCATCCCCGACGCACTTAAATTCCTCTCGACGCGTGTAGACGGAGCGAGCCTGAGAACCGGCCGCGCCGGGTCTGGGAAGAAAAATTACCGTTTCTGAAAGCGTCCACCCGCCCCCCAATTCGGCCAAGATAGCGGAGGAAGTTCGGAGCGAGCAGAAGAGGCCTTCGACAAGCTTCGCAAAAGTTCTTACGGTTGTACCACGGGACCTATCCTCTTCGCTCGCCCTCTTCGTACCCCCGAGTTTCCGTCTTGGCTTCGCTCGAGAGCGAGTGCACGCGGCGTGCGGAAACGCTGTGTCGCGCGGATCGTCCCCCCCGTTCATCGGGCTCGACAGCGACGGCGCGGTAATGAATGGGGTCGGAAATAAATTTATTTCCGGGTATCGATCGCGTTTTATAATTGCTTTTGGCCCGTTTCGGAGATCGACGCGAAAGGCGGATTGATACCGGTTCCTTGTTTCGTTTTTCGCCTCTTTATTTCGTTTCCATTTATTCGATTTGGCTACCCATTTGTTTATCCTTTTCCGCAAATATCGCGGCCGCGGTGAAAATTCCAGCGGCGATGATATTTCGCGCTGAAAATAACGTTTCTTTCCACGCGGTCGATTTAATATTTGTATTCGAATACGCCCGACGGTGCCAACAGCGCGCGAATACGCGTTCCACGTTTGCGGAGTTTCGGGTTCGCGATTTGATAATTATTTCCACGTTACACAAGGAAGTTTACCATGGGGAAAAGTCGCGGCAACGAGACCCGTATTCTTGGTTTTTCCCGCGGCGTTTCGCGTCCCGGCTGCTTCTACACCGTTCGAGAATTCATACGGTCGACGAAGTACTTTCTCGCGGGAAGAGAAATCACGTTGCCTAACAAAAGACGAATACACGGAGCCTCGGGGTGCACGGGCGGGGCAAGGGAACGCCGCTTGGAAAAAGGTAAAAATAATCGTTCGTACAAGCCTCGAGCTGGAGCATTGTACCACCCGGGCAATAATTCTGGATAAACTCGATAAGCCGGGGGGGGGGGGGGGGGAGGGATGGCCCGTTCGGGCCTTTGGTCAAC